GCTGACAGAGAGATAACCATAAGCACTACTTAAGGCTCTTTGATCACACAGGTCCATCCATCTACTGTCCAACCAGGGTGTCTGAGAAAGTACTCCACAAATGGATCACACACATAGACTCAGTGTGCTTGTGTGTGTTACTTACCACTTTACCAAAAATCTTATCTTTCCAGCCGAGTCTCAGATTCTGCCCTTGCTGAGCTCTGTTTCTGTAAAAAAAAAAAAAAAAAGTACAAAGAATGATACAATCCATCTTTAGGGCAAGGGGGACCCCATGATCTTACTCTCCGCCCCTCTCCTGCTCACCCTCAGTTTCATCCCTGTCTGAATTTGACTGGAGACAAGGGGTTAAGGAGGAACAGACTCTCTGAAGAGCTGGCTGCTTAACCTCTGACCTCATGGTGTAAGAGAGAAAAGGAAAGGGAGGGAGGGAGACCTTTAAGCAGATATATGACTACGCAATAAATTGTAAATACGCTGGATTAGATGTTCAGCAATATTACAATCTTTTGGTGTCACATCCCTTTGTTGTAAACTTTGAGCAGGTGTAAGGTGTAAGAGGTTAAACCTGCCAAGAGGGAGAGAGAGATGTGAAACATGACATACCAGAAGAGGGAAAGGAGAGAAAAGAAAGGACCACCATTGCATTCCCACATTTCTTTGTCCTCCATCGCAGCAGACCCATGCTCACTATTGGCTGCAGGTTGACAGTGAGGCGCTCCAGCTGGCCTCCGAAGATGGCAAACAACATGTTAGAGATAAGAGCAGCGGTACAAGCTATGCTCCAGCAGCCACTCCACTCAGGTGGGGTTGGATGGAGGAAGATTGCTGATTGGAACAGCTGGAGGTATATGGTTCTGTAGACATGAGGAAGCAGCACAGTACACAGGGTTTAACAACAGATCAGCCATAGTCAAATGTTATTGCTGCACACTCATGGGACAGAACAAGGTTGTTATCAGCTCCTTCATATTCACTCATGCACACACACTGATAAACTGCACAGCACTTAAGCAGTTTCCACTCTCAGGATGCTGAACACACTTGAAATAACTCAGCAG